TTTGTAATTCTCCCCCATTTCTTTAAATTTTTTATTACATCTAGGCCTATATTAAAAGTTAAAATAAAGTATTGAGCGGGGAACGTAACAATGGGTGGATTTTCATTGACTAAGTGATATTTAATTAATGTTGCTGCGTCACTCGCACATATCTGCAAAGAGGGAAGGGTAGGCGATCCTCCCTTCCATCAAAAGCTTTTCAACATGAAGCCTAGCCTCTTACCCCTCATTCCCCCCCAACACCACTACGAGATATATGGATTGTTACTATTTATAAGTACATGTAGACCTATACAGCTCAGCTCCCCACATTTTCAAAGTTTCTACGCCATCAACGCAGTATGGTAAAATGAAAATGTCTTTTTGTTGATAACACACTTCCTTATTACAAATTGAAACATCAAATGGTAATAAAGGTTGACTGTAAATTCAACTGGAAATATGAATAACCTCAATCCCTCTTTCATAGTGGCGTGGGGGATACCCCCACAGAATGGAGAACTCTGTATTTAGTGTTTTATCCGTACATCGTGACTCCCACAGTCATGAAAGTGTTAATTTCTTAAGACGGGTGGGGTAAGTCATACTGTGTAACTTGAACGGGGAGAAGTGATCTCGGGCGGAATTAATGATAGATTTGAAACCAGGGGCACAGATAGCACTACAGAGTGCTGGGTCTTTTTCCAAAAAGAAAAAAAAATGTGGACCATTTCTTCTATACAAACAACATGATAGTAAAATGATTATTAAGAAAGTGGACCTCTTAAAATTTTTAGAATATTGGAGTGGTCTTTCAACGTCATCCCACACCTTACCTACAATCGTCCCTGTTTGAAACAGCATCAGACCCCCCGCGAAATTTCAAAGAAAGCCGAGATAATTTCGCTTTTTTATAATTATTAAAAATAATCAATAAATACTTATTAAAGGCACAAAAGCCTGTCTATTTTGTATTAAAAACATTCGATCCCCTTCAAAATCCTAGAAACATCACTATTCTATCAGAATTAACGAGAATATACATCAGAATTACTCATGGCTGCTCTATATCAGGGTCCAAGCAGTATGTAATGGTTCTGATTTACAGGAATTACTGTAAAAAATAACAACCAAAACCTAAACCTTATGTAATGAATTGCGTGTAGTAATCTCAACTAAGATATAGGAAATTTCCTTAGCTTTAAAAACCTCTTACGATCCATGGTCTAACTGTACTTACTTATTGACAATGTTTACATCCCCCTTTCGTTTCGTTCTTTTACCCCACCCACGGGCTCCTCCCATTACTCGTGACCTTTGCTCTTGTTTCCGTGCCTCCTCACGTCCAAATATTCATAGCGGCAAAAGTAGGAACCAATAGGCTTTCCACTTGATATGAACGCTAGTTGCTAAGCGATGACGCAGTAGAAAGAAGTCAAACGGAGATTTGCAAGCAACAGCTTAACACATAAGCAACTGTCCCACGTGCTACAGGGGGTCTCAACATGGTTGAATGTGAGTTGCGTTTTACTACTTTCAAGCTGTCATAGCTCTTTAACCGTCAGCCTCCCCCCCTCTACCCACACAAAACAACATCAACGGTTCGTTAGAAGGCGGTTCCACTGTCAGTTGATAAAACAGGGGAACTAAATTTTGGTTTATTCGAAAGTAATCATATGATCCTTCGTTTACTATTTAATTTTAACAGAATCATCAATCCTAGGTACAATATTTTAACAGAATCATCAATCCTAGGTACAATATTTTAACAGAATCATCAATCCTAGGTACAATATTTTAAAGTCGGAATATCCGGATACTAGGCGCGATGTTTGAATGTCAGAACACCCGGAAAATAATATATCAATTTCTTCGGTATTTGTTTATAGAATGTTTTCAATGTCTGAAAATCACATAGGCATGGCCACAGAATAATGCGGGCAAAAGACCCACCCCTTCTTCTCCTTTCTTTGTTATTGTTTGCTGATTATTAATCAGAGACTTGTTTGTTTGAGGTTAAGCACAAAGCAACACAACGGGCTATCTGTGTCTTCTCACCACGGATATCGAAACCCGGTTTCTAGCGTTGTAAGTCCGAAGACATGCCACTAGGGGGCTAATCAGAGACAAGTAAAACGAAAATTCTGTGTTTTGTCTATTGTGTATATTTGGTAAACAAATATTTTCAAATATTCTCATTGGTTCTTTTAAAAACGTGATGGTAGATTAAAAAGGAAATGAGTCTTAATTCAGGCAAGTGTTATTGGAAGGAATATTTAGCGCGCAATCCATTTCTATAATTAGAAAAATAATGTTAATGATTTCACATGTACACTTTCTTTATGTAGAAGTGGTTTTTATAAGTTGACAACGTTTTCGTGTAAATTATCGTAAAATGCCATTATTCGGTTTACCAAGCATAAAGTTGTAGATGTCTTTTTTTTTTTCGTATTAATCGAGACAACGAAAATTGATATATTAGGCTGAAGGAACAAATTTAATGAAAACAACATGCACTAGCATTATATTAAATTATGCTCACCCCCCTCTCCATCTGATGGCTCGGCGGTAAGCTCTAGGATTTGTAACTCTAAGATTCTATGTTCGATTCCTGCAGTAAGCACAGCATAGATAATCCATAGTGCGGGTTTGCGTATCACAACAAATTGCAATGATGGTATGCAAGAATCATCTTAGTAAGTCTGAAAAAAATGAATTGGTGCATCTTTGTTGTTAAGAACAAAGCTATACAACGTACTATCTGTGCTCTGCCCACCGTACGTATCGAAACCCGATTTTTAACGTTATAAGAATTACCGCCCAACCACCTGGAAATATGAACATAATCATCGGATTCATAGCAGGGTGTGTGTGTGGAGCGACAAATTATTTTTGCTTTACAGCCACCACAGCCTACGTACGCTGGTAGTTATTATTATTATTGGCATTCCTTGGACTTTAAATTGGATTATTTTGGGAAAATTGAGAGAAGACTCACAGATTTACTGAGATAAACACAACTAATGTTCATTAAACTTACTTCTCTAACTACGACTCTTAAATCCAACAGAAGTGTTGCTTGACGTTTTACATTCGACATAAGCATGCCACTAACCGTGTGTGTGGGTTATAAGGGTGACAGTGAAATCTCACAATTCGGTCAGATAATAAGAGTACTTCAAGAGTTTGTGGTAAGTGCTGTTGACTAGCTGCCTTCCCTCTTGGCTACCAGTTTAAAATTTGGAACGGTTAGCGCAGATAACATTGCGTGAGTATCGGAAAACAAACAGATAACAGATCCATTCTCATCATATTGTTTACCTGTCTTCAGCGGCAACACGTTTCGATGTCCATATCTTCCTGTACTACAGGAAAAGTGACATCTACATCCTTTTGTATTGAAGCATTAATAACATCCACATCTATTTTACTAAGGCAATACTGGTATCCAAAACCCTCCATACTGACGTAATATTATAAATCAAATTTTTTTGACATCGAAAATTACTGATATTTACACCTCTTTGTACTGGGGTAATACTGACATTAAAATTTTTTTTAATGACGCAATACTTTACATTTCTTTGTTCTGGGGCAACAGTAGTATCTCCGTTTTTATCAAATACGGGTCTTATGATAATGAGGTCACAGAAGTTTGTACATAATCAAACTTTTTCAATTTTTCTGTCACGCTTTCTCCTAGTTTGTGATCACGTTCTTTCAACGCGACTCGAAATTCTTGTTTGTGTTCTCTTGTCACTTTCTTCCATAGTCATCCAACAAACATATAATCTGCATTTCTCTGCCCATTGTGTTAGAGGAATGTGTTTAATTAGCTCTATCTAAATACTTTAAAACATTTCACTACATGACTAGTGTATATACGTTTTAAAACTACTTAAAAAAAAGAAATACAGGCCCAATATAGTTTAACACCAAGTTCGATTAACTTTAACGGTCTCTGGTGTCAGTAACGTAAAGAAACTGAAGTAAACTTAAATATGTACTTAGGACTAACACTGGTTTGATATTGTATACCAGTTAATCTCACTTTCTGTTGAATAAATTAAATGTTTTAATGATCAAACAAACAAAAAACATTCAATGTTATCGCAAGTGTACAGTGTTTGTTTTCTTCAAAAGAATTCCTTTCGAAATTATTTTACTGTTTCCCCTGATTTGTTTACTTTTTGATAGAAACTGTTTTTTAAGAACAAAATTGATAAAAATAAAACATATTCGCTCTTATAAATGGCGTAAAAGAAAACGAATCTGAAGAAGTTAGAAAAGATTACATAAAAATAACATATTGTATGGTACAATTGTACCAGTAACATTGGAATAAGACATTACATGTTAAATAACGTATTAGTTTGTTTGTTAATCAGAAGTCTACAAAGGAATTTATCTGTGCTCTGGCCACTGCCGGTAACGAAACCTGCTTTTGAACGTTATAAGCCCAAAGACTACCCACTGTGGGCAAAGTTTACTAGAAAGAGTAACGTAGGATATTGTATGGTAGAGAGTGTACTAGAATCAATAACATGGGAATAAGAATTTATCTGTGCTCTGGCCACTGCCGGTAACGAAACCTGCTTTTGAACGTTATAAGCCCAAAGACTACCCACTGTGGGCAAAAGTTTACTAGAAAGAGTAACGTAGGATATTGTATGGTAGAGAGTGTACTAGAATCAATAACATGGGAACAAGATAACGTACGGTATACGGTGTTATAAAAAGTGGTATTGAACAAGATATATAAATATACATAACGAATTAAATAAATGATAAATGTTTACTATATGTTACTTTTTGTGTAATTATACAATGTAATAAAGATGTGTTGATTACACGTTATCCCCGTTTATATGGACGTCATAACGCTGGATTTTAAGTTCAGAGTTGTCACTGTGCGTTATACTATTTTACTACACGGTCATTAAAGACTAGTGATAAAACGTGTGTGATTATATATTTCTCCTAATATCTAAACGATATCTCTAAAGAAACACACAACAATATATGCTTGAACTGTAGAAGTACAGCAGTATTTTATCAACATAACGACCATACAGGAAAAGATTAGATCAAAGGTCAGTCCAGTCGTGAATTCTGACCTGGGATGACAAACGTAACTACAATATTTACATCATTCACTGTTTCTTTTCCAACGACCTGTCAGTCTTCATATGATCAATTTAGTCATGAAATCACTTATCGATTCTATAAGCAAGCAACACTGTGAAACTGGCTTATGATTAGTTTCATGAAGAACCTAATACAAAAATAAACATAAGAAACCCAAGATAAGAGCGTTATGTATCTTGAAATGTTCAGCCCAACTTGAAGTGACCTTGGAGTAGGATTTGAGTTTTAAAAGTGATCTCCGTTGAAACTGTATTTTTAAGCGATAAGGTCAAAACAGCGGCATGTTAAGAATACCAGTTATAATTGGTTTATACTCATCGTTATTCTTTTCAACGTTTTTCTTTAAAAACTCACTAAACATATGTTTCCATCTTAAATTATATTCCCTAACACATTTTCCGAGAAACTGATATTACAAGAATATAAACAGACATTGTTTCAAATAGTGCTAATCTGTGTTCTCCAACTTATCAGTGGGTTTAGCGTGGTTGAAAAAAAAGAAAAAAAGTTCTTTAAAAAGTTAAACATTTCCAAATATCTCAATGTTGCTTTATACAAATAAATTTCCTTCCAAAGAGGGAAAAGAGGGGTAATTAATATTTGGAAGGTAACATTCATGGAAAACGCAGTGCTGCATTTTTATAAAACACAAAAATATCACTAAAATTTGGTAATAACGAATGTACAATCAGTCCAATCAACTTGCTCTCTTAACAACAACTGCTTCTTCTTGCGACTTGCCATAGCTGACTTTACTTCAAAGTTTACAACCATGGTAAAAAAAACAATCAGCAGTCGTTAAAATCGAAGAAAGGGTTAAAGAGTTTAAACATGGCTGCTACAGTTTTGAGAACGTTTTTCAACCAAACAACTAAAGATCTTTTCAATTCGTCAGATGTTCAAAAAACAAAGTCAGACAAAATCTCTCTCTCTCTCTCTTTCCGGAAATGCTTTGAATTAGTTGAGATGGGGTCCGTTTGTATTTTTTATCGAACATCATAAACGACAAATAGAAAGTTAAACAAGCACAGACACGTACAGACACGAGATATACAGCAGGCTCCAGGCGTGTTTTTACAGGAGCGATGGTTATGGCACGAAGATTCTGGTGTTCTTTTCCTGTCCTGTTTCTAAAAAGTCCGAGAATCTGTTGGTGTCCAGTCTATGACCTCCCACAATGTTTACACAATATAAAAGACCGTTCTGTGACGACGGAGAAGAGTTTGGATACTTCAAAAGAAATTCTTGCCAGAGGCCGCTAAAGATGATGTTCTGCAATCTAGAAGATTTAAATAAAAAACTAGAAAGAATGTTAAGAACACGGCACGTGAATTATAAGATACCAAGAGCTGAACTTTATAAAATATAGTGTGATACGATTTTAATTATATAAAACATAAAATGAAAGTCACACTAATAAAGACGTTAGGGTGTAATTTAATTACTTTAATTTGGATCACATGAGACCACTTGACGTTTTCTGGATAAACCGTCTTTGATCACAACAATTAATCTTAAACAACTGTATCCTTGTTTCTGTGCACTTTATTTCATAACAATATGAACTACGTTCTTTCTCTGCTCCTATAAAAAATGAATTTTATTACTCTCCTCATGAATATTACAAACATTTATATAACACAGTTCTGTTGATTATTTCTTTATACAATCTCATGTAAATAACTGTATTGTGTTCTTTTATACAAGAAACAAACTTAATATTTAAACACTTTGTCATATTCTTTATACAAATTATAAAATACACTGAAAGTATTCCTTGGGTAATAATATTTAACCATAGTAACAGAGATCTTGACTTACTGTATTTTCACTTTTAATGCATACATTACTAACTGAAGTATTCTCTATTCACTCTTACATTACTAACTGACGTATTCTCTATTCACTCTTACATTACTAATTGAAGTATTCTCTATTCACTCTTACACTACTAACTGAAGTATTCTCTACTCACTCTTACATTACTAACTGAAGTATTCTCTATTCACTCTTACATTACTAGCTGAAGTATTATTTATTCACTCTTACATTACTGACTGAAGTATTCTCTATTCACTCTTACACTACTAACTGAAGTATTCTTTATTCACTCTTACATTACTAACTGAAGTATTCTTTACTCACTCTTACATTACTAACTGTATTGTTTTTGAAGCCCTATATTACTAAAGCTTGTATTCTATATACTTTCTTACATTACCAGCTATATTGATATTTTTCTATCCCCGCATAATAAACTGTATTATATTCTTTTGGCACCTAGTGTTATAAAATATATTGTTTTTTTATGCACTCCTATACTATTACTTGTATTGTGTTCTTTATGCACCTCTATATTACTAATTGTATTATGTTCTTTTTATGCTCCCTTTGTACTGCTACTATATATCGGTGTTCTCTTTCTCCTCTACATTACTAACGTTAATGTGTTTTTAGTCTATATTCACTGACAATGCCCTTTATCAATCTAAGTATATAATTATAGATACAATTTATCACCAAAATGTCTAGATAGTTTTGAACACAACTTATCACCACATTGTACAAGCACTATATGCAACG